ATTTTCCGTCAGAGGGTGAAGCGGGCGATCGGGCGTCGGTGAGCCTTGGGACGTGTCTCCAGGGGGATTTTCGTTTCAGGGCCGCTGGCCTCGGTTACCTCTGGTTCTCCTGTCTTCGGGGCCTCCGATTGCGAGTTGGATTTATTGCGCGCGGGTTCTGGGGCGTCAGTCAAACCCTCTGCTGGCTCCAGGTCCCTGACCAGTTTATGCATTTTGGATCACGATCCACTCTATAATGCAGCCGCTGCTCCGATCGCCAGATACTCCAGGGAGATCTGGGACGCGCGAGTTCAGCAGACACCTTTCGCTTTAGATTTCCTGCTCCCCGCGATGTTTGGGGCAGTGCATGGGCCAGCCCGCCAAAGTCTTGGAAGCAGGTGGGGGGACCAATGGGCGCCGCGCGCCTCTCCCTGTCCCGCATCGGCTGGACGACGCCGTCCTTCAGCGCTGCTGAAGAATGACCTCGGGGCGGGTATTTTCCTCGCCATCACCTCTCCCAAGCTCACCAAGATGTTGCTGCGCGAAGGCGTGGCCGGGACTTTGCGCCGTCTCTCAGGACAGGAGCTCGGACTTCAAGGTCGGGCTTGCTACGGGTCCGTGATTCGAGACCCGCGGATTTCGAAATACGCGAATTTCGAGAAGGGCTGCGTCCGAGCTGACGTTTGCGGGGCGCGCAGGACCCAGGAAGGAGCGGCAGTCCTCGGGCATCATATCCAGAAGGTCTGTTGCGTTTTACGTGGTGGGCCTTCGGTCCCATTGGGCATCGGATGTGGGTTTGCCCAGCGGTCGAGGATCTAAGGAAGGATATTTGTGTCCCAGGCGTTAGCTGCGAGATCGACCTCGCCTCCGTGAGCCCCGACGCCTTCCACCTCTTCGCCAGCGCGACTTTCGCGCGCCCGTCCGATTCCCCCCCCGGGGGCCTGCTTCACAGCCCCCTCCAGTGGTCCAATGGGAAGCTCCACGACGCGACATGGCTGACGAGCAGCTATTCTCGGGTGAGGTTTTCTCCGGCGGATCCTGCAGGCGCCGCGCTATTGCGGATTGAGCAGGGCGGGGCGGGGCTTAGCTGCGCGCGAATCTAGCAGGGATTTCCAATGTAGTCTGTGGGCCTCCCCTTGGGGCAGGTTCCCGTTGACTTCCCAAGCGGCCGAGTTTGGTAGTCCAGCCTGCGGGGCGCCGCGCATCTTGGGGCCCGCCAGTGGGCGCGGCGACTGCCTCAATGCGGTCGGGGTTTTTGCCCGCGCGCGAGCCAAGAAGCTCTTTCATAAGATGCCCTATGCTGGGCTCATGAGTAATGCGCTCGGGCCCCATCTGGTCGCCATTCACTAAGTGAAGGCCCCTGCTGCAGACGCCCTGATTTATCCAGCGAGCAGCCTTCCCCCAAAGAAGGCAACGACGAGGCGGAAAGGGCTGCCAATCGGGGGCCAGTCTCCATCCACGCGGGTTTGGGGCCGAGCTGGGCCACATCGATTGGCAGCTCAGAGTGGAGTGGCCAAGAATGTCTCTCGACCCGCCGCCAGACTTTTCACCATCGTGGCCCAAGCTCGACTTGGGCGGAGTCGAATTCGCGGCCCCTGCCAAGGTCGCGGACCCCCCCCGCTTGCCGATCAGTACCATCATGAGTGGATCTGGCGTGCCACGTTCTGGCGTTTCGCTTCTTGCCTCCGCTCCCGTCGCTCGGACAACAAGCCTGACGGCGTGCTGTATTTCTGCCGCCTCTGCTGCGGGCACAGCTGCGGAGGTCGCTTCAAGAAACTACGCAATGTCTGCAAGCCCGAGGCCGAGGGGGCCAGGTCTAAATGCGCAGCGTTTGTTTTGAGGGCACTCCGTCGCGGCAGGCACCCCAGGCTCTCAGGAGTTTCGTGCGACGTTTTGACCTCTCGATCGAAGGCCCCGGACCTGGCAGCGGGGTTCCGCCGGACTTCGACAGTCTGATCCAGGTGCGTGACCCCCCTCGTTTCGATGGGGGGCGAACAGCTAGACGTTTCTTTTTCAGGGAGCTCGCATGGATCACTTTCTTCATCGTTCCGTGTGTCCATGTCAGTCAGTGCCCCTTGGCGCAGGGCCCGATGCGATTAGTTGCGGCCTCCCGCTGCGGCCAGGCATCCCTGCGCGCGCGCGGCCCGATGCAGCTGACCCACGGACAGGCACTCGCTTTCCTGTCCCGCATCTGGGGCGGGCCTAGCCGCCGTCCTGGCGCAGCAGCGCTTGGGGTGGCGGGGCCTCGCCGTCCTTGTGCGGGTGGTCGTTTTTTGTTTTTCTTCCCTAGGGGCACTGACTGCGTGTCTTGTGTTTGTGTCTTGGTTTTGAGACGGAGACCTTGTCTCCCAGCCTGTTCACCACCCTGGCGCAGGGCCCGATGCGGCTGGCCGTGGCTTCCCGCCGCGGCCAGGCATCCCTGCGCACGCGCGCGGCCCGATGCGACCGACCCGGGAGGCAGGCATCCGTGCGCATGGCGCGTATGTGGGGATGGGTCCTGCCATCGTTCTGGCGCAGCAGCACCTGGGGTGGCGGGGCCTCGCCGTCCTCGTGCGGGTGGTCGTTTTTTTGGGGGTGCGGAGTTTTCGTTTGTTTTGCATGTGTGTGTGTGTGTGTGCGTGTTTCCGCTGTGGCGAAGCAGGGTTCGGCCAAATGTGCCCCTCCTCAGGCAGATGCCCGCAACGACTGGCCCCAGCTGCCTGTATTTGGCCTGAGCTGTGGCCTGGGTCCGGGGCGCTTGTCAGAAAACGCGCGCGCCTCGCGACAGACTGGGAGGGGGGCTTTTCTGCGACGAGACTGGAAGAAGGCGGAGGAAAGAGGTGGCCAGTCTGTCCACATATGGAAGGGTTCACCACGCAGTTTGGAAACGCAAACGGGACATTCAGGAGCACGATCCACGACATTCGAACAATGGTGGCAACGCGATGCAGCCCAACATGAGGAGATTCCTGATGTGTTTTTTGTCCGTGCTGCCTAGTTCGGTTTCGGTTTTTCCCCATTCGCCCCTTCGTTATCTCCCCCCCCAGATGGGCAGCTGCCCGCGGCAAACCCCGCCACTGCGCCAGCGCAGGCAGAAGAAATCCCAAAGGAGGATGAGTTTGAGACTCGTTCCAGTTCAGCGCCCTGTCTGTCTTGGTGCGTATCGGATCGCAAACGCATTGTTTCTTGTCTGCAGTCTCCTCGGGATTATCGGCTTAATTCTTATCCATTCGCGTATCCCCACCAGGCCACTCCCAACACATTACCAGGCGAGTTGCCCTGATCAGGGATGTGTAGCAGCATGCGGTCTCGCTCTGGATGCTTGTTGGAGGCATCTAGGAGGCCTTGAGGGCGCTCTTAGGGCCACCTTGCAGGCAATCGATCAGAGAAGGAGGGTGTCTTCGCTACAACTCCCTTCGGAGGCTCAACAAATTGCTCATGAGGCCGTATTGCAAGTCTCTGAAGGAGCTTTTGGGGCCGTCTTAGGGCCCTCTTGGGCCCCTTTGGGGTTCTCTTCGGCGATCTTGGAGCCATCCCGAGGGCTCAAGAGACCACCTGAAGCGAGAGCGCGAGAAGTCACAACACAGCGATCTTCCTGAGATGTTGGAAGGATTTGGTCTTTTCGGGGGGGTCCGTCGGAGGCTCCGTGGCCACGTGAAGGCGTCTTGGGGAGGTTTTCGGGCCTCTTGAAGGCATGCTAGAAGCCATCTTGGGCTCTTATGTCCATCTTGGGCTGTTATGGGCCATCTTGGAGCGAAGCTGAACCATCTTGGACGCTCCGACGACTCGCTATCCGCACCCTCCAGACCCAAGGAGGAGTGGGGAGGGAGAGGTAAATCTCCCCCCGGAGGAACAAGGACGTTCTGAGAATTACCGGCTAAATCAAGCCCGAAAGGGCTGGTGGGATTCTTTCGGAAGTGCCAACTTACGCCAGGAGTTGCTCTCAGCCTCAACCAGCAGTTGCGCTTCATTTCTGGTTTCTGCTGTGGTGGGTTCTCCAGGGAGCCGAGGGGAGCAAAAGGGTACGGCAGGTCTGTGCCGCGTTGACGCAGCGGCGACCCCAGCGCGGGCCTTCAAGGTGAGACGCCGCCAATGGCCCAGAGCCGGGCGACGTCGGGCGATCTGCGCTACTGGGCAGCCGCGATCGTTCACGGCTGTACGATCCACGGGGTGTCACAGACCAGCGTCGACGTCATCGACCCCCCCCCCGACCCGCCGGTAGCCTTCCGAGCCAGAGGGGCCCGGGCGTGGCGGTCTCGGAGAGCACGGCGGATCTGGCCTCCGGTGGCTGCCGCCACCGGCGCCGAGGTGTCGAGAGATCGCCCCCTCGCCTCGCGAAGCATCGCGTCTGGACTGCGCGGCGCCTCCCCCGCAGTATTTGGACACGGCATTTGAGCACGCAGTGTGCGCCAGTCTGCATGCCCGGGAGCAGGTCCATGAAATGCCCCCAGATCTCTGAAAAATGTCACTTTCTCCAATCGGGCCCGGTTTTCCTTGATTTGGGCGTCCAGGGCCCATCATCGGGACCCAGGTCCATCCAAATTGGATCTTGACGAAAACTACCCGCGGAGAATGGGTCGGGACATCAGGGGCGGGGGGCCAGTGAAGGGGAGATGGTGGAGGAAAATGGGAGAGGAGGAGGAGGAGGAGGAAGCATCAGGAGGCGGACGCACTGGGAACAGGGAGAGGACCCCCCCCCTCGGCCAGAAGCTTGCCTCCTCGCTGCCTGGACCCATGGCTACCCCTGTCCTCCCCGCATGTCTGTGCCCGCAGCTTGCCACCCCGACCCGTTCCGACCCGATCCCGGCGGCATGACTCTGCCGCCCATGTGCAGGGCCGAGGCGGACGTCGATAACGCGCCAGTTCTCCCTTCCCCCCCCCCGCGCGGCCCTCCCGGGGCCCACCCCGACCCGGGTGTCGGGTCGGAGCCGGCCGCGGCGACGAGGAGCTGCCACGAGGCCCAGAGCGGGCGGGAAGCGCCAGGGCGTGGCGCCGCCGTGGCCTCGACCGGCCCTGCGGAGGGTCGGCAGCCCGGGGCCGAGGTGGACAGACTTCACCTCGCGCTTCACCGCCAAGAAGGAGGAGGCGCCCGCGGCAGAGGCGCCGGAGACGAAGGCCCCGAGCCCCCGGGCTCCGGGCAGCCAGAGGACCAGGCGTATAGAGCGGAAGCCCATGCCAAGAAGCACCCGGCCTGCCTCCGGGGTGTACCCTGGGTTTCGATGGTTCTGCTGTGGAAAAGGCGTGGCGCTCCCACACCAAGAATCCATGGGCGTCCTGGGGTCTCAGGGTTGAGTTTCTTGCGTCGAAGAAGAATCGCTACAAGCATGACTTTTGGCGCTCCGCGCGGATTTCTTGGATCTGACCTGGGCCCCCCTGGCGGCACCTCTGGCGCCGCCCCTGGCGCGCGCTCCGCGCGCCAGGGAGGGGTCTCCAGCGCAGATCCCAGAAACCCGCGCGGAGCGCCAAAAGCTCATGCTTCGAGCGTTGTTTTTGTTTATCCTTCCGCCGTGGAAGGTCTCTTGTGGTCGAGCTCCTGCTGCACCGCCACCGCTCGCGCTCCTGCGCGGCCGCAGCTTGGCTCGCCTCGAGGCGGAGGGGAGCCAGTCGGGGCAGCGGCGGCCCCCCTCCCCGGCGTTGGAGCTCTCGTGCCCGGGGTCTCCTGGATAGGCTCCCTCCGTCGCCGCCGCGGCTGGGATGCCCGCCCTCGAACAGCGGGCGAAGGACTGCAAAAAAACTTAGGATTGCAAAAAAAACCAGGACTGCAGAAAAACCCTCGCTTGAGCGAAGGATTGCAAAAAGCCGAAGGATTGCAAAAAAAAACAGGATTGCAAAAAAAAAACCCTTTTACGAAGGATTGCAAAAAAACCCAGGGTTTTTTTTTGCAAGCCAGGGTTTTTTTGCAATCCTTCGGGCAGACCCCCCAAGAGCCCCTCGAGCCACGGACAGCTCACGACAGGAGGTCTGTCGCTCCGTTCGGCCTCGGGGGGCCCCTCCCGGGCCTCGGGGACCGTCAAGAGAGACGACGCGGGACGAGAGACCCGTCCCAGGCAAGGGGTCCGGACCTTGGGCTTTGGGGGTCGCGTCCTGAAAAAAACACGGCGTCGGGGGTCTGGGTCGGGAGGGGTCTAGGGACCGACCTTGAGCGCATGTGGGCCGGGCGGGTGAGCAGCCGTCGTCTCAAGTGGTCTTCACTGAGATCCGACGCTGCGAAAACGTTGCAGCATCGCAGGAACGCACGACAGGAGCCCTCGGGACTGGGCGAAAGCGCCTGCCATGAAACGTTGCAACGCCCAGGTCTCAAGGTTCTTCCAATGCCTGTACCTCGTTGCCACGTCTGGATTCGCCTCGGAACTCTGGCCAGAGCGCACACCAGGAGAGCTCCCTGTAGTAGCTGCACTAGTTGCAATCGTGGGTCAAAACATATCCGGATCCGCGACCTCGCGGGCCAGCCCCCCCAGGGGGCCGCGACCCATCCGATACGGGGCATTTTTTCACTGATGCCACGCGCGGAACAGATCCAGTGTTTTCTGTTCATCTATGGGACGTTATTGCAAATGCAGCCAGTGGTCAGTCTCTGCCGCGCATCGCCACGGAGTGCACGGGTTGCTCGTGAGATGTTGCGGTCGTCCCCGTCAAGCGAGCGAACTTTCAGGCGAGTCCATGGGGCGAGAATATCCGTGCGACCGCGTGTCTGCGGGACCGCACCCGAACGAAGGATTGCAAAAAAACACAGGATTGCAAAAAAAGCCCTTCGAACGACGGATTGCAACAAAAACCTTCGTCCAAACGAAGGATTGCAAAAAAAATCCTTCGTTCAAACGAAGGGTTTTTGTTGCGATTCTAGACCGCGAAGGCGCGGAGACGGATTCTCGTCGCCGCGCGTGAGCATAGGAATCCCCCCGCGCGCCGCGGGTGGGCCCCGTCGCCACGCAGCAGGGCAGGGGCCGGGGCCGAGCTCGGTGTGGCCACGGCCGTCTCGCCTCGAGCCACGGTCGGCCTCGCCCGGCCTCGTCGAGCGGGCCGGTTCTCCCGCGCTGCGGCCCCGATGCCCCTGTCTGATGGGCACGTTTTCCACCATCACTACCATGTGTAGGGCGGGTGGGAGGGGAGGATGAGGAGATACTTCTCCTTCTCCTCCTCCTCCTCGTCCTCCTCCCCCTCCTCCTCCCTCTCCTACTTGTGGTAGTGGTGGTGGGGAATGGACCCATCACTGTCCGCGGCCAGCTCGCCTCGTCTCGGCGCGGCTCGGCGTGCTCGTCATGCGCGCCCGGGTCGTTTTTGGCTGCCGAGGCCTCGCGGCCCGTGCCGCCGACCCTGAAGGGCGACGACGACGACGACGACGACGACGACGACGACGACGACGACGACGACGACAGCGGCGGCCGCGTCGACGACGACGCTGACATGGGCAAGAGTCCTGAAGGATGCTTCTTGGGGTCTCTTCTGACGGCTCTCGGGGGGCCTCTGGGGATGAATCGTGGGGCCTCTCGGGGGCCTCTTGGGGGGTCTCTTCGGGCTTCGTGGGGACATCTTGTCAGGCTCTTGGGGCCTCTTGGGAACCCCTTAGGGCCTCCTGGGAGCCTCTGGGGGTCGAGGGCTCGAAATGTCCGTTCGGGTCCCCCGTCAGGGCACGCTCTTGGCGCCGTCTTGGGAGCCCCTGGGGACGTTTTCTGTTGATGGGCGTTTGGGGCTGCCTTGGGGTCCTCTTGGGCTGTTTTGGGGCATTCTTGGAGGCCTCTTGGGCTTACTTGGGGCGATCTTGGGGGCCTCTTTCGCCGTCTTGGGGCCGCGGGAAGTGGAAAAGGCGAAAACGCCAAAATCTTAAAACAACCAGCGGGAAATCAATCAATGTGGCCTCTTGGGGCCTTTTCGGGGGTGCTCTTTGAGGCTTTTTGGGGCGTCCTGGAGGCCTCCTGGGCAGTCTGGAGGGCATGAAGGTGTTTGGGACCGATCGTTTGGCGATTTGTGACCCTCTTAGACCGTCTTGGGGGCCTCTTGGGGCACTCTTGGTCTGTTTTGGTATTGCGAAGGCCTTACGGCCGTTGCCGCCGACCCTGAAAGCGACGAAGACGAAAAAGAGGGGGGAGGGGCAGGGTGGAGGAGGTGGATGAGAGAGGAGGAGGGGGGAGGAAGATGTGGAGGAGAAGCAAGAGCAAGAGGAGGAGAAGGAGGCGGAGTAGAGCAGGAGGAGGGGGAGCAGGGTGGGGGGGGGAGGAGGAGGAGGAGGAGGAGGAAGAGGAGGAGGCCAGATGCTTTCTTGGGAGAGCCTGTGGCTCTCCTGAGGCCGTCTTGGGCAGTCCAGGGCTCCTCTTGCGCCGTCTCGAGGCACTCTTGGAGGCCTTCTGGGCAATTTGGGGCTCTCCTGGGCTGTCTTGGGGCAGTTTGGGGGCCCCTTGGGAGCCTCTTGGGGCCTCTTGGGGCTTCTTCGGAGCCTGTTGGGGGCCTCTTGTGGCTGAGAGCTCGAGATGTCCGTCCGGGTCCCCCGTCTGGGCACCCTCCTGGAGCCGTCTTTGGGGCCTCTTGGGCCGTCTTGGAGGCGTCTTGGGCCGTCTTGGGGCTCTTTTCTGCAGTTAGGTGACCCTCTTGGGGGCCTCTTGGGCCGTCTCGGGGCGATCTTGGGGGCCTCTTGGGCCATCTTGGCGCGTCGGGAAGCGGAAGAGGCAAGAACGCCAACATCTTTCGAACACGTATGGGACATCCATTGGATTTTGCCCCATGGGGCTCTCGTGGGAAAGCTCCTGGAGGCCTCTGAGGGGCGCTTTGCAGGCCTCTTGGGCCGTCTGGAGGCCGTCAAGGCGTCTTGGACAGATCGTTCGGCGATTCGGGGTTCTCTTGGACTGTCTTTGGGGCCTCTTGAGGCACTCTTGGCCCGTCTTGGGGCTTCTTGGGTCTCGAGGACTCCCAGGGGGGGGCGTCGTATTTGACCCTCCTTGCCTGGGGCGTCTGACCCCCCCCCCCGAGACCCCCCCCCCTCCCCCCCTGGCTGACTTTTCCTTGCTGCATCTCTGGTTCCAGACGCTCCCCTGAAGCAGTGGGAAGAAAAGAGAAGGGGCTTCCCTTTGACTCAATTACGACGTTGCTTATTTTCGCTTTGGCTGGCGCGCTGAGGAGGTCCCTGCGAAAGGGGGGAGCTTCGACGAGCCCAGGGAAAGGGGGGAGGTAGGGAAAGGGGACGACAGAGACGATGACCCAGAGATGACGACTTGAACGAACAAGCCCCGCACACACGCCGACAGGGTCGGCAGATTTTCTGAGGCCCTGGGACCCCCAGGGAGGATGCGCATCTGAACCGGCCCCCCCCACAACCAGCCCCCCCGGCGGGGGAGGGATCATAGGGGAGGAGGGGATTCCTTTCGACTTGATTGCGACATTGCTAGTTTTTTTCTCTCGTTGAGAAGCTTCAAGACCAGGGTGCAGGGGAAGGGGACAACGGAGACGACGGCTGACGAAGACGACGTTTCAAACAGACAAACCCCTCACACACGCTGACAGGGTCGGCGGATTCAGTGTTGGCTACCTGTTGTGGCTTGTTGGTGGTCCGGACGGCTTGCGCCCAGGCTACCAGCGAGACACGACGGACCCGTTTCAGCACCAGGCTCGAACGGTAGGATGTCGGGCAGTGCGAGCAGGATCTTGGGTCCCGCTAGGTGGGGTCCAGCATGCGGGTTCGCGGGGGGTCTCCATGGGTATTCGGTTCAAGCTACTTCACCGCGCCCGCCTTACACCGCCATACAGTGCCGTTTTTAATATATGGTCCAGGGCTTGGGCCCCCCCCCAATGCTGATGCCATTGGGCCCCCCCCCCCGCGCGATGGTCCCCCCCCGCCCCCCCCTGTGGGCGTGGCGTGGTGCTGCGCTGCGGTGCCCCCCCCCCTTGTGGATGTGGTGTGGTGCTGTGGTGGTTCAGAGGTGGGCGTGGCGTGGTGCTGCGCTGCGGTGCCCCCCTCCCCCCCCCTGTGGATGTGGTGTGGTGCTGTGGTGGTTCAGAGGTCGTCGTCGTCGTCGTCGTCGTCCCTGTCGTCCTCGTCGTCGTCGTCGTTGTCGTCGTCATCATCGTCGTCGTCGCCGTCGTCATCGTCGTCATCGTCGTCGTCGCCGCCGCCGGCGTCGTCGCCGCCGCAGCCGTCGTCGTCGTCGTGGTCATCGTCGTCGTCGTCGTCGTCGTCGTCGTCGTCGTCGCCGTCGTCGTAGTCGTCGCCGTCGTCGTCGTCGTCGTCGTCGTCTCTGGGACCATACCATCTGGGGTGGGGGGGGGGCCCGAGGAATCCTGGGACCATACCATCTGGGGGGGAGGGGGGGGGCCCGTGGGCCTGGATCCCGGGACCATATATGCTCCGCGTGCGGATCATGTATTAAACATGCAGGGATTTAGTATTAAAAACAAAGATGAGTTCATGCATAACTTTATCCATAGATTAACCATGCATTAAAATCCTACATGTTTAACAATCCTATGTATTAAAAATCGCCCTGTACGGTCTTGTCAAACATCATCCGCTTGCTGAACATCTGCGTTGTCGCTCATCGCTCCACGTCCGAGTGTCGCCCCTCCTTTCGAGTGAGCTGCGACGTTTTTCAAGTTCTCTCGGACTGACGACGACGATGGGAAAGACGACGATGACGAAGACGACGTCGCCGCGACGACGACGACAGCGCCTTCCACTCGCCGACAGGGTCGGCGGATTTGAGACGACTGGTACCTAGGTCACCCTCGGGGGCGCGAAGATAATGTGCTTCGCGCGTTGCGGTCTAGGCCAGAGCGACTGCCCGTTTCCATGGTGGGGCGGCGCGATGGCGCGAACGTGCGTAATCGCGCGTCGTGCATCGCGGGGTGCGATGCGCGAAGTTAGGTGGCCTAGAATACGGCCAGGCCAAGCAACTGATTGCCCCCCCCTTAGCCGCACATTTGGGCTCAAGTCACAAGGTGCCGCTTCATCGATCATTCTGGCTGGTAGCCAGTCGCACAGGTTTATTAACTATGGACAGGGGAATCTCTTCGATCCAAACGGTCGTGGAGGACTGCGTCTCAAGCGTCGCGCCCGCTTCGTCGGCCTTTGTTTTTTTTGACTTGGGTGCCATGGAGCTCGCAGGATCAGCCAGTCAACGTGTTGGCCCCCGAGGCAGGCAAGGGAGAGATTAGCCAGGGCAACATCACCCAGATGGTGGAACAGCACGAGGCCGTGGTAATCCCGTCCGTGTCTCTTGGACTATCTGACGGCCGCGCACCCTGACGACTTCGTTTTCTTGGTGCAGCTGCCAGATCGGTCGGGTACCGAGCTGACCAGGGGCTACCTCCGTACCTTGATGGCACGGCAGGATCCGTTCTACAGCTCTGGGGCGAGCGGCGTGCTGATGGAGCTGGAGGGTGACCCAAAAGGGCTTGCAGCAGAAGGTACGTCTAGAGCTTACAGAGAGCACCGCGATTCAGCTGCGTGCGCAATGCTACGACAGCACCATGACAGCGGGAGTACTTTCTTCCAACGAGCTCCAGACCATCGAGGACGAACACGAGAGTCTTCTCTGGGAAACCATCCCGAAGTTGCTAATTCCCGGTTTCCCTGCTCTAGACAAGCGGTTGCTGGAATTTGGGGACAGGGTTGGGGAGTTCCGGTTAGTGCAGCAGTTTGCAAATCATCAGCACGTCTTGTTGGCGGTTAACGGGCAGCACGATTCTATGGTGATCAAGACGCGCAATAAGCGGAGCGTCGCCGCTGCCAAGGAGGTGGAGAGCGTCTGCCAGGAGGTCAACCTCCTAACACACACCCTCGACCACCCACACATCATCCGCTGCGTAAGCATATGTGCATCTGGTGCTCCAGTATTGCGGCGACTTCTGCATGGAGCAGGTGCTGTCGATCCAACTAGGCCGCCATTTGTCCAGGGACGACGCCGTGGACTGCACCATCCAGATCGCGAGTGCTCTGAGGAGGTCAACCTCCTAACACACACCCTGGACCACCCACACATCATCCGCTGCGTAAGCAGATGTGCACCTGATGCTCCAGTATTGCGGCGACTTCTGCATGCAGCAGGTGCTGTCTATCCAACCAGGCCGCCATTTGTCCAGGGACGACGCCGTTGACTGCATCATCCAGATCGCGAGTGCTCTGTCCCATTGCCACGCCAATGATGTTACTCACGGGCAGGTGTCGCTGAGGCATGTGTCGGTAGAGATGGGCGAGGAATCAGTTTGTTTGCTGCCTGGTGGATTTCAGCATGGCAGTCCACGTTCCAGACTTCAGCACGCGGGAGACCAGGTGCGGTTCTCTCCCGTGCGTCGCTCCGGAGACAGCGTTGGGGGAGCCGTACTGGCCCAAGCTGGCAGATTGTTGGAGCCTGCTGGGGGGTGGTGCTCTTGGAGACCGCTTGCGGGCAAGGCTCGCTCGAGCGCTTGGTGCCATGACGCCGTTGCGAACACCTCGCGTTGGCCATGCGGGACAAACTCGAGTTCTTTGCCCAAGCCGGCTCCCATGCCCAAGCGATGGCGAGCATTGGCGGCGTGCACGACGGAGCGGCGTTGGCGTGCCTGGAGGCGCTGCTGAGGCCCGAGCCCCTCCGCAGGGCGGGCGCCTCCGACGCGGTAGACGTGCTGTCAGCCAGGCGCGTGAAGGCCGCTCGTTGGTGGGTGGTGTTCGGGGAATACATAATGGCATAACCATTAGCTTTCGGAGGTCTGCGCAGATTTCCCTGATCGGCACTGGAGTTCCCTGGCGGCGCCTCCCGCGCCGCGCCCAGCGTGCTCCGCACGCCAAGGAGAGGGGTCCAGCGTCGATCCAAGAAATCTGCGCAGACCTCCAAAGTCGTTGTTTATGATTTATTTGTTCCCCGAGATGCGCTCACTCCTGGGAGTTGTTAAAGGTGCCCCTCGAAGAAAAATGGCGCAGTTGCATCCATCGGATGCAGCTCATTCGAACGCGGTTGAATTCAAAAACATTTTTCCGCGAATGCAGCTCATTCGAGCTCCAGGCAGAATGGGTACGGTCGCCTGAATGTTTAAACACTACACGTTGCGGTGTTCGCAGGTGTTCGTGTTTCGGCGCTTGCCTGAGCGAGACACTGGCGGGCCACTGGCGCGCCGTGGCGCACCTCCTCCACGAGCTGGTCACCGCCCTCGCCGCGATGGGGCTCGAGCTCAGCACCGGTGAGGGGAAGTGCGAGGTAGTTCCGACTGGCGGCGCCGACTCCACAGTAGACCTTAACGCCCTCCCGCGGGGGATCCGCCTCCGCACGGACCGGAGCTTTGAGCTTCTCGGGGCGCCAGTGGTCGACGACGACTTCTGCTGCCAGCACACGAAAAACCAGGTTTCTGCGGCGCAGGAGCTCCTGGACGCATTGGGGGCACTGGAAGACGCGCAGGTCACCTTGCACTTTCTGCGCCAGCGTGCGTCGTTTTGCAAACTGGGCTACAGCGCGCGGGTGATCCCGCCCACGGCGCACACAGCGGCCCTGCAGTCGCTGGGCGACAGGGTAAGGGCTTGCCTCGAGCAGGTGGCTGGCTGCTCGCTCAACGACGCGTCGTGGCGGCAGGCGCATTTCAAGGTGCAAAGGGGGGCCTAGGCTTGCGCTCGGGCGAGCAGCGCGCGGCCGCAGCCTACGTTGCCTCCCGGGGCGCCAGATCCGCCCTCTGCAGGCAGCTCTTCCCGAGCTACACCGACGCGGCGGGGCACGAAGCGGGCGCGCTCGCGAACGCTGTGCAGGCTCACAACGCCCCCGTCTCGGACGCGGACAGGGTGGTTTTCGACCCGGAGCAACGCGGCAGCCAGAAGAGACTCGGCGACGCCGTTGACGACGCGGCGCTCGCTAGCCTCCAGACTGGCGCCTCCGTTGCCACGCGGGCGCGCCTGAGTTTGCCTCAGGCACCTGGCGCTGGCGCTCTCCTCCTGGCGCCGCCCAGCGAGGCTGCCGTCGCCCGCTTCCCGCGCGGCCTCTGCCAAGTAGCTGTCCAACGCAGGCTCCGCGTGCACTTCCTGGACCGCGAAGATTTCTGCCCCGCTTGCGGAGAAGTGATGGGCGTCCGGCTTGCCCGCGCCGTTGCCTGCTCCTGCTGCGGCGACAGGGCGAAGCGCCACAACGCGCTTCGGAACCAGGGGTTCTTCGACGCGCAAGCAGCCGGCTTCGTGCGGGCGGAGCTGGAGCGGCCGGAACCCTCCCGCCGCGCGCAGCCAACGAAGGGCCACTGGGCGGCGAGCAGCAGGGCGGTCCAGACCTGGACGCAGGCGACAGGCGCCCCGCGGACGTCTACCTGCCCAGGTGGCGCAACGGGCGCTCTATTTGGCAAGGTCACCGTCGAAACCACCGCTGATGCATCAGATGTTGGCGGATTCGTGTCTCGGGGGCCGCCCGAGTCCGACAGCGCAGCCAAGAATGCATGTAAGATGTTGCGCGAGACATTCGCGGCAGCGAACGAGCCAGAAGGGATGGCGGTTGCAGCTGCTCGCGAGTTTTTTTCCTTTAGTTTCGTGCGCGTTGAGTGGGGCTCCGGAGGCAACGAGTTCCACCGGCCCGGTAGCGCAGCAACAATGGGTGCGTTGCACGCGCCGCGCACTGCGCGCGTCGAAGAGCTTGTCGCGGGCTGTCGCGCGGGGGCCGCTTCAGGGCGCGGCGCGCGTTGGGCCGAGAGTTTTTTGCGCGTTCTTTTCAGTCGGAGAATGGCAACAGCGCGAGAGACGACATTTGGTAGTTGACTCGTCGTCGTTCTCCTCCTCCTCTTCCTCCTCCTCCTCCTCCTCCTCCTCCTCCTCCCTTTCTCCTCCCCCACCTCCCCCCCTTCTCTCTTGCGTGTTCTAGAAATGCCAAGATCATGGGGGACGGAAGTGAGTTGGTCATTTTACGCGCGTTCGCTACTGGTGCAGGCCAGCTGTCAGCCGTTCGCCCGCGCAGCGGCCATGTCAACCGGTCTCTGGAGCTTGTTTTTGTATTATCCGCGATAACGGGCGTGATGGGGGTGGGTGGGGCCCTGATCACATCGCGGCGGGTTTCGGCCTCCCGGGTTTTTTTTTTCGAGCCCCCCGGCCCTCGGGAGGAGGAATATCGGGAAAAGAGAGAGGGGCAGTGGAGGAAGAGTGGATTGAGGAGGAATCCTTGGGAACACCTTGAGATTATGCTGCGGCTGCTGCTGTTCCTCCTCCTCCTCCTCCTCCTCCTCCCCTTTCCTCCTCCTCCTCCTCTTCCTTTTCCTCCTCTCCCTTTTTCCCCGGTCGTCGTTTCCGCCGTCGTCCACCTCATGCGGAGGAGTGGAGAGGATTTCAGGAATATGCTCGTGAACGTTCGAGGGGCGCGTGTCCATACGTATCCCTTGTGTGCGTTCGGATAGCTCGCTTGTGTTACATTTGGTCGCGATGATGCTGCAAGTTTTTGCGCAACTGATTATTTTCACGCGCTTCCCGTTCATGTCCGGAGAGGTTTGAACAAACGGGCGCCTCGCCGAATACATCTCGCCAAATCGTGAAGTTGGGGGTCGCCTCTTAAGACGCATGTTACAAAAATTGGCGTTTCGCCGGGTACATCATCGGAGCGTGTGGATGTTGTTGAAATCATTCGTCTGATGCGCGGACCTCCAAAAATGAACGCGTCGCTGGAGAAATCGTCAAACACATGGGAAGCGCCGAGAGTTTTTGCAAGGCAGCTTTTCGGAGCGATTTCGGATGACTTCCAAGATGGCCCAAGAAACGAAATTATTGAAACACCCATGGTTTTATGTTTTACAGCTTCGTTTAAGAACCTGCGTTTCGTTCGAGACATCCCCAAAACAAATCCTTCGAACGGGCCCTCGGAACCATCTGGTTTTCTCCTCCTCCTCCTCCTCCTCGGCCAAGCGCTGCGTCGAAAGATTTTTTGGGCGCAGCGCTTCCTGGCATGCCTCATCGCGCGCTCCTCGGGACGGGGCGCGGCCGAAGGCATGCGACAACGCGTCGCCACAACTCCTCCCTGCGATGCGCGCTGCGGAAACGCGCGAAAGCGAGGTCTTGTCTTGTGAACGCATGGCGTCGGAGCTGATCTCCGACGAGTGCGGCTTGATCGCAGCGGTGCAATCGGATCCCCCTTCCTACCGAGTCATACCCCGCGAAACGCCATCCGACAGCGGGACCCTGTTCAACTTAACAGCGCCCTCCCCAAAGGGGAAGAAGGGGAAATATGGGAGAGGGAACTCGTTGAACCACCTCGATCCAGAGGGCCGGTGGGATCTCACGTCCTCTGATGTTTTTTTTGTTTTTCTGATTCCGAAGGGCCCATTGATATTGCCTGGGCGGGCTGGATACGCCCCCCCGCGTCGCTATTTGTCATGACTGGCTCTGGAGAGTGTTGCTATCAGGGCCAGATCGGCTGCCCTTCCCAAGGTGTGTGTGTGTGTGTACGAGCGCGCGCTGGCGCGAAGATGCCACGCGTCGCGCACCGCGGGGCGCGACGCGCGAAGTTCTGTGTCCTCGGCCCTCCCCGCAGAGGGAGGAGCAACCACCCGGACCGGACAATGGGCGTTTGCTGAACGGCCTTGGGCGTTTACCCTCCCCGCAGAGGGAGGAGCAACCACCCGGACCGGACAATGGGCGTTTGCTGAACGGCCTTGGGCGTTTACTGAACAGCCCTGCCCTCTTGGATTCCCTCCTTGGGGTGCGTTGACTGACTGGCTTCGCGTGTCGGGGTGGTCCCTATCGGGGTGGATTTCCTGCCGACTCCATCTCCGGGGCTCGCCTGGTGGGCCCTTCCGAAAAGCGAGAGAGAAAGCACGGCATTGAGCACAAAGTTTTGGCGCTCCGCGCGGATCTCTCGGATCCGCGCTGGGCCCCCCCGGCGGTGCCTCCGGCGCCGCCCTTGCCGCGCCCCGGCGCCGCCCTTGGCGCGCCCCGCGCGCCCCTGGCGCGCTCCGCGCGGGGTGGACTTTCTGGCCCTCTGGGCGCAGTGGCGAGCAGCGGGCCGCCCCCGACCTCCCCTCGACGGGGAGGTCCTGGGCGGCCTGCGGCCTCCCAGGGGCCCTCCCTGGGCTCCCTCAGGGCTCGGGTGCAGGCGGGCATGCCCCTCTGCAGGAGGGGTGCTCCAGAGCAGTCACAGCATGGTCTGGGGACGATTGCTCGACTGCTTTGGCACATGCTTGCGTATCTCTCGGCTGCTGCGCACGTGTCGTCGACAATCCGCCTGTAGGAGCACACGCCCAGGGCTCGGGAGGAGGCACCGGCCTCCTGGGAAGGGGTCCGAAGCTCTGGGGAGCCGCGCCGCCACGGGAGCCGCGACGCCGGATAGGGGGCCACGTGCGAACCCTACCCCTGCCCCCCACGGCTTCTGAGGGGGAGAGGGTGGGGCTCGCTTCGTTCGGGAGCTCCCGAGTGAAATGATCCCCCCCCCCTCAGAAACCGTGGGGGGTACACCGTAGGCGATGCTTAAGAAAACCTAAGTTTTCGGCCAGAGGCTCGATTATTCTTAATGTTTCAATGTAAATCCTAAGATTGTGCTAGAAATGTTGGGTTTTAGTTCAAGTTCTGAGACGATGAATTTCTTAACCCATGATTTCTTAAGCATTTCGCAGGGTATAGGGGCAGGGCTCGCATGCGGCCCCCTCTCGGATGCCTGGGGCCGGGCCGCGCCGGGCCGCCGCTCCCTGGGCCGAGCGCCGGCCGCCTCCGCGCCCCGCTCGCTGCGGCTGGCCCCCGGCGGCCCTCGCCGCGCCCGCCGCCCGAGCAGGCCGCCGAGCCGAGCAAGGCCGAGCCCGAGAAGACGCCCGCGGCGGTGGGCGCGAACTGAGGCGCCCGGGGTCCGCCGCCACTCTCGAGCAGTGGCGAAGCGTCCCGGCTCGCCTGTAGCCCCACCGAGCGATGTTCTCAGAGAGCCTCGTTGTGGTTCCCACGGGGTGCTCTTGGGACTCTTCTGGCCGGGGCTGTCTTGTTTTAGCGCATCGGGCTTAGGTTCTAAGAGCAGTGCTTTTGTTATTGGAACATGTTTGGGTTCTGAGAACATGTCGTGGTATGACTATAGGAATGCCGGGACGGTCGGTCCATGCTCAGCACTCCTCCTCGGAGCCCAGAGGTGCCGCTGCTCGGGGCCGGCGGCGCGGGAGGGCGCTGGGCGGCTAATTACGGGTCGAGAGGCCCTGGCGGGCGCTGCCGGGCCCGGGCCTGCCACGACAGGGTGGCCGTCGATCCCGGCGTCTGCTCCTCGGCTTCCCCGAGCTTCAAGCAGCGGCGGGCGAAGCGTGCCGGCGTGCCTATAGCCCTACCAAACAATGTTCTAAGAAACTGTTGTGGTTTCCACGAAATGTTCTTAGAACCTTTCTGGCGGAGTCTGTCTGGTTTGAACACATCGGGTTTATGTTCTAAGAACATTGTTTTTCTCCTTCGATTTTTTGGGGGGTTCTTGGAGCATTTCGTGGTATGACTATAGGAATGCCGGGACGGTCGGTCCCTGCTCAAGAGCTCCTGGCGTCGCAGTTTTTCACACCCGCTTTCGGGTTCGAGGGCCATCGCAGGTCGGTCCGGCTCGAGAAATGCCGCGGGGCGATGGGGTCCAGGGGTTCCGGTCGGGCTTTTTCTCGCGACGTTGCAATTGTTCCGCAACGTTGGATCTCAGGGTTCGGCCTCTTGGGGCCCGTTATTGGGCCCCCTTGCAAACGAGAGTGGGCCTGCAGGAACTACCCCCGGAGAAGGGGCTTGGACGTCACGAGCTGCGCATTGGAAAATAACACCGTCGGATGTTTGTGCGAAGCGGTCCTTGGCAACGTAACCGCATGCCGATGATAATAAAGGGACCCCCCCCCCTTCAGTGTTTAGAGTTGATTATCGTCGCCCTATACAAAATTCAAATTGGGCGGCGAGCGCTGAGGCCGAACTTCATTATCACCTCGAAGCGCTATGTTGAGATAGCAACATCAAGCGATGTTGCTATCCCCGCGCGCGCCTGAACTTTTTTATCTCTGGGGTTGATTATCCATGGAAAGGGGAGCACATGAGCTACCCTACATGAGCACTTAACAAATCAATTTTCATAAAGCGTTTGTAAATTAAAATTGATAGATTTGGAACTTTCCATTTTTCCGTTCTTCTTCTCTTCTTCTTCTTCTTCTCTTCTTCTTCTCTTCTTATTATTCTTCTACGTTCCTCTTCTTCTTTTATATTTCTATCTGTCCTCACGCTCGCCTGAACTTTTTTATCCCTGGGGTTGATTATCCATGGAAAATGAAGCACATGAGCTACCCTACACGAGCACTTTAAAACATAAATTTTCATAAAGCGTTTGTAAATTAAAATTGATAGATTTGGAACTTTGGATTTGTCCTTTCTTCGTCCTCTTCTTATTCTCCTCTTCTTCTTCTTTCTTATTATTCTTCTACTGTATTCTTCTTCTTTCATATTTCTCTCTGTCCCCACGCTCGCCTGAACTTTTTTATCTCTGGGGTTGATTATCCATGGACATTGAGGCACATGAGCTACCCTACACGAGCACTTACAACAAACAATTTTCATAAAGCGTTTGTTAATACAATCTAATAGATTTGAAACTCGAGATTGTTTCTTCTCTTCGTCCTTCTCCTCCTCCTATCATTTCTTTTATTTTATTATATATTCTTTTTATTTTTCCTTTTTAGATATAGCTTCCTCCATTCCAGCGAGATAAGCCATTGTTGAGGATATTTCTATGAAAACTAAACGCCACGGATGTCTCAAAACGTGCTCGGCTTGGTCTCCTCTTGATCATCTCTTACTTCGAGATTATGCTGAGGTCTGCTGGGCTACTTTTATTATCTCTCCCTGAACCCCGAACTTTTTTATCCCCTAGTGTTTATTCTCACGGGCATGAGGTTAAGGGGGATGTGCTCTGGGGGCCAGAGCACCAGCCCCCAGTCAGGCCATCGCCGAAAGGGGCCTTATAGCCTAACCCGCCCAGGAGGGTGCAGATTCGCCATCATGGGCCTCTCGCCGATCTATCGGCGATGCGTCGCCGATTGTCGGTCAATGTTTCCCCCCCTTTGAAAGCCAACACACCCAATCGTTCCATTGCATGGCCCCACCACTCAACTTCTGGAGCCCCCCAGGGCCCTCCCTCCTTGGGGCCTCGTGAGGGGGGTGCTCTGGAGGCCGTGGGTGCTGGATGGCAAAGACTACCTGCCTCTAGAAGAAGGCCTATGGCAAATACTTCTTTTCTCAGCCTCAAGCGTCTGTAGACACGTGGGGTGTCGTTACGTATGTAGACACATTCGGGGGGGGTGCGTCTATAGACAACGCGGTCGATGCGTTTGGCGCAGCACTCGGTCGGAGAAAGGGTATATCCATCTACGGCACACTCCTGTTCTAGAGCAGGTCCCACATGGTACACCAACGTGGGTGCCTCCCTGGAGATCCTGGTGGCACCTCAGGCCAGGGGCACGCATGGCGACCCCCGGCCCCGGAGAAGGTCGGTGCGGGCCCACGTCGCGGGATGCCCCTGCCGCCAGCAAGGGCAGGGGTCCTGAATCGGTCATCCTCAAGACGTGTGTTAGCCCAAGGGTCTGTTTACCCGCTTCTGCTCCGCTCATAGTGCGCAGCCTGCTCTGGTTCACGTCGCACCGCCTGTGTCGTGGTGATGGGCTTCGGGCGACAAACATTTGCGCTACTACACGTCCTGAAGGGGTCATCCTCTTCTTCCTCCTCCTGTGAATGAGCAGTTGTTTCCTGGGATCGTGGGTCAGAAGCCCTCTCCCAGCAGCCCCTGCTCTCACATTTGCTTTATCATTTGGTGGGTTGGTGGCTGGCCGCTACAGTCGCGCCGTCCCCATCCAAACATACGGAGTCATGGGGCCCTGTAGCAAACGGTTCCTAAAGCGGGTCCTTCCCCGTGACGGGGGCGGCCAAGAGCTTGGCATCGCTCGGACGTATGCAACTGTTTCTCGGCGAGAACAATCGAGGACCCTCCTGGACCATCGAGCAGAAAAAAAGCACGCACGAAGCCGAAACATGCACAGGAGATGGACGCCCGAGCGATGGCAAGATCCCGAGTCGTCGTCCGGGGGCGGCCAAGAGGGGGGCGACGACAGGGGGGGGAGGCCTGTTGGCTGGGGCCGCGAGGCCTCCCCGCGTTTCCGCGGCCAAGGCGCCACCGCCCCGCCCCTCGCGGGGCCGTCCCTCGCGACGCGGGGGCGCAGTGCCTGCTCTCCATGCGTCCCCTGCCCCCCCCCCCCCCGCCCACCCCCCTCTCCTGAGGGAGAGAAGCGCACAGACACAATGAAGCGTCGACTGCCGGCAGGACATGCGAAAACATGGGACGTGGGGGGGAAGGCGAACCCCCAGAACAGACGGGAAGCTGTCGGGGAATCCTGTTACTTGTGTCCATGTGTTGTGTGTCCCTGGGCCCCTTCACCCTCGCCAGCACGGAGTAGGATCTGCGTATCTGTGATAGCTTCTGGGGTGGCCCCGGGGCTCGTGGAGGGCTCCCGGGGGCCCGACGACGGCGGGAAATGCCCTTTCCCACGATGCCTCGATGCCTCGATGCCTCGATCCCTCGATCCCTCGATGCCTCGATGCCTCGATGCCTCGATGCCTCGATCCCTCCTGGATCGATCCTCGATCCTCCCCCCCCGTGCCTCGGGAGCCCGCTCGCCCAGGCGTCCGACGGTCGTGCTTTTTCTGCGGCTCGGGTGCGCGGCCGCGGGGGCCCCGACCCTCTCTCCGGGGGCAGCCTCTGGTCTCGGGAGAGGTTCGCGGGCCTCGAACTTATCCCTATCCCTAAGATTGACGCGCGAAAAGGAGATGACAATCTCAGGGATGCACCCTCAGAAACTGAGGAAATCCCCAAGATCGCCATCGTGATGAGGCGATGCCCAACATAGGGATAGGGGTCTGTTCCAGGCTGGTAAGAGGTGCCGACACTCAGGCGATCGCAGGAGGCATCGAGGGATCGAGGCATCGTGGGAAAGGAAATTCCCCGCCGTCGCTGGGCCCCTGGGGGCTCTCCACGAGCTCCAGGGCCACCAGAAGACGACCAGGGGGCGTAGATCGTACTCCGCGCTGACGATCTGGCGATCGCAAACATGGATTCAGGGGGCGTGGATTTGCGATGGGCCCGCTTCCACGGACAAACATCGCGGATCTCAGCCGCCGAACGAGGCGGCACCGGCCGCATTTTGGGGGAGGGCACCTCCCCCGATCCGCGCGCGCTGATCCATGTTTGCGCGCCCCCGAGACACTGCTGCCCTAGGAGGAGGAGGAGGAGGAGGAGGAGGAGGAGGAGGAGGAGGAGGAGGAGGAGGAGGAGTAGGAGCAGGAGGAGGAGGAGGACCAGTGGAAACCCAAGTGTTATCAACGATGTTGGAATTAACTCTCCCTCCAAACTCCCTCTTCATATGCCCCTACAACGGTTCATTTCCATTGAGGGAACTGCCTCGTTGGAAGACGATAGTTTGAAGATCCTGAAGCGTACCGAAACATTGTTCTCAGGATTCCTCTCGCTTCGCGGGGTGCACGTCCGGAGCACGTACAGTCACGTCGCGGGGCCTTCTGGGAGCCTCTTGGGGGCCTCCTGGAGGCCTCTTGGGAGCTTCTTTGGGCCTCTTGGGGACTTCTTCTGGCCTCTTCCCCCCCTTTTTTGACTCCCTCCCCATCTTCCCTTCCAGCGCTGGCTCTAATCATGGGCGCCGCCGTGACCAACGTCCACCTGGCTGGCGCTGCGCCGCAGTTCGTCCAGGGGGGGAAATAATATTACACTCCAGTCGCTATGTGGCCTTTGGGGGGCTTCTTTGGGGCCTTTTGGAGGCTTCTTGGGGACTTTTCGGAGGTCTCTGGGGGGCTTTTTGGGGCCATTTGGGGGCCTCTTGGTGGCCTCTTGGGGCCTCTTGGGGGCGTCTTGGGCCGTCTTGGGGCGCTTTCGCGCCGTTTGGCCCCTTCGGAGGACTTCTTTGGGGCCTCTCGCGGCCGCCTTGGGGCCCTCTTGGGGTCCTCTTGGGCCGTCTCAGGGGTTTCTTGGGCCGTCTTGGGGGCCTCTTTGGGCCGTCTTGTGGCCCTCTGGGGCCGTCTTGGGGCCCCCTTGGGTGTTTCTTGGGCCTTCTCGGGGCCATCTTGGAGGCTGCTCGGGCCGTCATGGGCTTCGGAGAGGCGAAAAAAGGCGAGAAAGCTAACATCTTTCAAAAACGTAAGGAAAATCAATGTTTTTGGCCTCTGGAGGCGCTCTTGTGGGCGCTCTTGGAGCCCTCTTGGGCCGTCTTGGGTTTTTTTTGGGCCCTCTTGGGGCCATCTCGGGCCGTCTTAGGGCCGTCTTGGGCCGTCTTGGGGCCATCTGGAGCCGTCTT